AATTTAGCTGTGGAAGAGATCTGTTGAAAAAGAGTCATTCACCAAGCGTAACAGAGGGCCTTATCTTCAGGAAGAGAACGAATGAAAGAGAGAGTGAGACAAAGCCAGTGCAAGTAGTGGAAACAAATGAAACAATGTGCAAAGGTCATTGCAACATTACAGGGGGATCACAGATTGCCAGAGCAACATATAAAACTAGGGTAGCGGGGGAGAGGTAAAAAAGGGAGGGAGTGAAAAACAGAGAGAGGGAAGTAGGAAGAAAGGAGAAGGAGTGGAAGAAGTAATCAGGTTATATCACAAGTTAAGCCTTTGGAGGAGGCATTCAATTTTCTAACACAGTCGAAAAGTTATAGTTCCTGTCTTTTCTTGTGGCACCCTGGTAAACTGAGATCTGTTCAAGGACGTACCCTCAGCTTTATTGCACTGTGGTGAAATGCCCTTCACAGTATTGATTTTCATTATAAAACCTGAAGATTAGTTGAATCACTTGGAACATAAAATTCAACATTGAAATGTCTCCCAACTTTTTTAACTACAGAAGTGCAGTCACTGAACCAGTCAGTAATTTAAAGTCATGATGTAATGGAAACAGTGACAGATCATTTCTTCGTATAGTGGTATACTGCCTCCCCGAATCATCCCTGTCTTTTTGCACTCTTATGACACTTTAGAGAAGCTCTCTAACCTCTGGGCCCCTGAGACAACCAGCCATTTTGAAAGAGGACACCGGAGAGGACAGAACAGAGAGTGCCCTGCCATTCTTCAAGTGCGTGTGTGTGTGTGTGTGTGTGAAGGTGGGGAAGGAAATATGTGTGTGACATTGGTAACTGAGGTAGCGGGAGGGATCCATAGCAAGTAAGGGGGAGAGATGGATAGATTATGTGCTTTAGTAAGGGAATGAGCAGAATGCCAGTTTGTGTCGCTTCCCTGCATTCTGCAGGCCTGACATTGTGAGAGTGATCAGGCCGCTCTGCCCCTCAACAGCTGTGTGTGTGTTGATGGGGAGGGGTGCATACATGTGGACTCATGGGTGTACATATGATCTGCGCTTCCTCACTTTAATCAGCATTTAATTACATAAATCGTATAGATGACATTGGTGAAAGTTAACTATTAAAATATGGAATGCTTTATGCATGCAAACTATTATGTTGGTATTCAAAGCCATGCGCATCTCTCTCTCTCTCTCAGCTGTGACCTTGCAGATTTATGCAACTTGGAAGCTTTTTAAAGTAATTTCTAACATTTAATTCCACTATTCGACCATTACCTGCATTTGCACCTTTCTGCAGGAAACATCCTGTTTTGTCTGTCCATGTGTCTAGAACAAATGCAAATTATTTATTGTAAGTTGGATGATGTACATTGTGTTATACATAAGGTTGTGCAGCAAAGCCATTGTAAGTATCTGATGCAATGACACAATTATAAGTATTCGGATAGAAGCATATATTAAACCAGAAGTGTGACAAAACTACACTGAAACTTTTAATTCCATTTAAAGTTTCCATTATAGTAAACAATATTGTATGATTCATACATTTGTCTGTATGTGCATACAATTATATAAAATATATATTTTATTAAAATCTTTTTTATTACAACACAAATGAAGGTAAAAAATTAAAAAATTAAAAAAGTCAGAACTTTCTATTATTCATAAGAAATCATTTCTATTATTCAGAGGATGTTATTTATTATTTTCTATTATTCAGAGGATGTTATTTATTATTTTCTATTATTCAGAGGATGTTATTTGTGATACATTATGAATTTCTAAATGCTTTAGGCCTTAAACCTCTTGTGTTTCATACTTCAGCTCTATACTTTCACATAGTCTTTTAATTGAATTCATTATTCACATTTTGTGAAACTGTTATTGTTCGCTGCATTATTCTACATGCATCACATATCCTCAGTTTTTAATTTCATTAAAATGTATTCAAATGTTATGCATTACTGGCTTCTCAGGGGGTAAAACTCTTTAACTATCAGGCACTTTCAAGTGCGTCTCGCTTCCCTGTCTTTCTCTTTTTCACTCTAACCAGCTTCACTTTTCACTCAGATTAGATTTACCTCCTTTTCCTTTCAGCCACACTTCTCTCTTCCCTCTCCATCCTTCACAGTGAATTCCACACAGGATCAGGCCTGCTTTTCATGCTTAGCTGAATCAAAGAGAGAGAGAGAGAGAGAGAGAGACAGAGGGAGAGACAAGAATGGAAATTTAGCTGTGGAAGAGATCTGTTGAAAAAGAGTCTTTCAGCAAGCGTAACACAGAGGACCTTATCTTCAGGAAGAGAACGAATGAGAGAGGGAGACAAAGCCAGTGCAAGTAGTGGAAACCAAAGAAACAATGTGCAAAGGTCATTGCAACATTACAGGGGGATCACAGATTGCCAGAGCAACATATAAAACTAGGGTAGCGGGGGAGAGGTAAAAAAGGGAGGGAGTGAAAAACAGAGAGAGGGAAGTAGGAAGAAAGGAGAAGGAGTGGAAGAAGTAATCAGGTTATATCACAAGTTAAGCCTTTGGAGGAGGCATTCAATTTTCTAACACAGTCGAAAAGTTATAGTTCCTGTCTTTTCTTGTGGCACCCTGGTAAACTGAGATCTGTTCAAGGACGTACCCTCAGCTTTATTGCACTGTGGTGAAATGCCCTTCACAGTATTGATTTTCATTATAAAACCTGAAGATTAGTTGAATCACTTGGAACATAAAATTCAACATTGAAATGTCTCCCAACTTTTTTAACTACAGAAGTGCAGTCACTGAACCAGTCAGTAATTTAAAGTCATGATGTAATGGAAACAGTGACAGATCATTTCTTCGTATAGTGGTAATTTATATCCAAGTAAAATGGATTATCAAAAAAGAAAAAAATGTAGGGCGGGGACTTGGTTCTATCCATCTATTGTTGATTGGATACAGCTTGGCTTGAGCTTGCGCATGAGCTTGAGCTTTCAATTGTAAGAAATGGACGGAGTTTAAGCAGACTAAATGATTGGAAAAGTCTGTCATATGTCACCACAGAAAAGTCTTCCAATTTCAATGAAGACTGACATTTTGGTTAAAAATGACAAAAAAGGGTAGAATATAACAAAATAAATAAAATAAATAAAAATAAAACATATACATGCATGACGTGTTAAAAATAAAACCATTAAGGTGCATTTAGAAAAGAGGAGAGAATTTCCATTTCATGCCGACTTTAAAGTTGCAATGAAACCAAAGTTGCATCAGATCTCTTTTTTCGTATTGTGATGTACATCCAGTTTAAGTGGACTAAATTATTGTAGAAGTTCTCTGTAAGTCACCAGAGAGACATCGGTACGGTGGCCGAGAAGTGCTAAACAAATCACAATTCTGAAATCAAAATAACAAATTACAAACGCAAATGCAAGTCTAAAAAACAAAATAAAAATTCAGAAAGCACAACAACAATTCAGAAAACATTATAACAAGTCATTTATTGAAAATAAATGCCTTTACGATGTGATACGAGATTTGAAAAGGGAGAAAAAAAAGTTCGGCAAAAGGCAGGATCGAACCCGGGGCGATTGCGTCAAAAAGCCAACAGCAGGCACTTATCCATCTGCGCCACTTGAGCTGATGACTTTATTTTGTTTTTTAGACTTGCATTTGCGTTTGTAATTTGTTATTTTGATTTCAGAATTGTGATTTGTTTAGCACTTCTCGGCCACCGTACATCGGTCATTTTCACTGAAAGGTCCAGTTGGCATTTTGATTAAAAATAGGTGAAAACATCTTTAAAAAAATAAACATGCATTAATAAAATACATTTAACATGCATTTAGAAACTAGATAGTTGTAAAAAATTCATGGTGACTTTACTAAGCAAAGTATGAGGAAAGAATAAAACAAGCAGGGGATTTGGGTCAGAATCTTTAACCATTAAAACTGTGTGAGTTAAAGTTAAATCATATTCAAAGTCAAACCAGGTCATGCACAATTGTACATTCAACGCGAAGAGGACAAAAGAACAAGCTGCTTTCAAAACAAAGTTTGAACTGGAACTCCTTCAATTCTTCTCTTTTTTTCTCTTTAAACACATTCTCTCCTTAAACACACCTTTGTTACAGTTTCAAACCTGTTGTTAAACGATATCTCTCTCTGTTTTTCTCAAATATGCTTCACTTCTCTGTGCAAATTCTTTCCGTGCCATAAAAAGCAATACCTTCACACATGCTCATGCTCATACACAGTGCCTGCGGTCAATAGGCTTTGAGAAACAATATTGACTTGCTAGGTAGGCTGCTGTTTCTCTCGGTCCACTATTTACCTCAGTGTTACTGAATGACTGCCAACAAGTTTCCAATTCCCATCTCCTTCCAGTGAATGGGCAAGTAGCAACACATAAGCTGTGGAATAGTTTTTTCACTCACCCACCCTTCTCTACCTGTCTTATTTACCTTTAAATATCGCTTTTCACTGACATTAAAGCACCACACCCGCTCATTCTCCTTTATTTGTACATCTGCAGGATCTAGCATAGTGTTTGAACTTTTTAATCTAACGACGTTTCTTTTACCTTTCCTCCTTATTGCCTGAGCTCAGGGTTTAGTCTGTTAACACACCATCTTTACTGTCTTGCCTCAGGACATAATGGTATATTGCTGTAGTTTTACTCTGTAATAATGCCATCTTTTAACACTACAAAGGCTTGTTTCTTGACGCTAACATCAAAAACAGGTAAATCCTGTTGTTTCCTTAACAGCAATATTAAATTTCATATTCCCCAAATCTCTCCGTTCCTGTAACACTTTTTTAAAGTCTCTCAGAGGTAAGCGCTGAGTATCATTTACAGCGGCGCTGCCAGGTCACGGGTTCCTTGCTTTACTCGCTCCGGATTGGTCAATTGCCTCATGAAATATTCAAAGTAGCACCTGATTGAGGGCTGCCATTGGACGCAGCTAGTCCGGTTATGTAAATGAGCACCTGGTCGTGTTTGCAAGCCCTGAGGGGAAGAGGAAGAGGTCTAAAAGCTAAGCGCTTTATGAGCGCGCGGAGAGAGAAGCGCTGATTGAGAAATAAATAAGGACGCTAGTGTCATTTGCGCTCATAGAGGCGTCGGATCTTACAGAATATTCCTACTTACAAACCTTTTCGAGCGTGGGACGTACAGCTTGCCTCCTTTCAGAAACTTTCTGCCTTTGCTTTCTTGACTCTGTTTATTTATTGGTGCTTTTGTGGCTTTAAGCACAAAGTCATAAGACTGTGCCAGACTATATTTATCTAGTATATAAACAACCTGCCAAAGTGAACAACTCGGATTAAAAAGAAGATCAGGCGACACATTTGGAGACGTTTTCGCGTTCTGACAGACTTCTAGGTAAGTCATAAGAAAATAAATGAAAATGACATATAACGTTAAGTGTAGTTTGTTTATGGTCAGCAAACTGTCAGACGTTACTTTTTACTATGTCGTTTTTAGTAAATGCACTGTAGGTAATAGATATTCGGATTGTGTTGTTTCGACCGCCGCGTGGAAACACGTTTGGCTTTCCATTAAACTCTAACGTTAGTTGTTTTAGACTGTGCTCAAATGTGTTAAGTCGTCGCGCGAGTAAACTTAACCGTCTCTGTCTCGTGCATGGCGACCAAGAGTCTCGGTGTGTGTGTATGTGAGGAGTTTGGACGTCTGCCACGGTAACGTTACCGGGAATGAGCTCGGTCTGGTGCGGAGTCCTGCTGTTTGTTTGTGAAGTTGTTATTCACACCCGCTCGGCGAATTTAAATGGTTCCTAGTTATGGTTATGATACCTGGAACCAGGGTTTAATGGGAACATTTATTAGAACAAATACTGTGAAATGGCTTGAAAACTGCTGTGGGTCATTCTGGTGGTATATTTACAATACACAGAATAATGATCTTTAAAAAAGCATCATATGACCCCTTTAAACTGTAATTGCAGAGCAGTCTCAGAAACACGCTAGACTGACGAGTCAGGGTGTTAAACCAGTAAGATTTATGCAAACTACTTATCAGACCTTATATGCACTAATTTACGATTGCTCTTGGTGTTTGAACTTATTTACAGCTTGTAAATGATGGTTTACCACATTAACCGATTTAATCACAATTGGTGAGCACATGTGTTTTTACTTCTTGGATAGAGAGATTAAATAAACAATGTATCTTTTTTAATCAGATATTATCTTTCAGAGGAACTAATTGAATTAAAACTGCTCTAGTGACGTGACTGTTATCACTAAATGAAACTAATAAAGTCTTGCACTTATATAGTTTACAGCTCCATGTAAATTCATCAACTCAAACCTTTCAGAGTGAAAGGTACATTTTGGTCCCAGATGTTACTAGTAGGATTAAATGGGTAAAATAGTAGTGGTTTTGTTTAAGTCCAAAATCATGGCGATTTGTATTTTACATTTGGGCAAATTTGTGGCTAAATCGAATTTGTACCAATTAATTTATATGTTATGTATAACACCCCACTGACTGTTAGGTTAGGGACCTCCATGTTTACCTTTTTCTAAAAAAAATGTATGTTTCCAGACTAATCACAAATCATACAAATGTGTATGAAATTCCACCTCGTAAAGTAAAGTATTGTCATGAGATATAGTTGGGTTGTTGTGACCCTTCTGTGGCAGAGGTGACCTCAGACCACCGCAAGACCCTGTGGATGGATCAGTGTAAAGAGAGCAACTTTAAACTGCTTTCAAAGCACCTAAATTACCAACCATACAAAAAAATGGACACACAAGTGAACTTTTGCATTAAAAAGGAGAGTTAATTTTCTGAAAAAGCAGAGAAGGAACATTACCATGGTAACCATAGTAATAGAGCTATGGGATTTCATTCAGACAATGTCAGATTATTTCCATCTAATTTTCAGTCTAGTAAAAATATTATAAAGATAGTATTTTATGGGGTTTATGGGTATTTCAGCAGAGGTTTTGTGTTTTCTGAACAGGCAAAAGAAAATGCAGTGTATGCGCAAAAGCAATGAAGAGATGCTAATGACTGCACCATGAAGCTGAAAATTCACCCTCCCCCCTTTTCTGTCTTCTTTTTCTCCTCTCTCTCTCTGTTTAAAATGGGTTTCAGAGGCTTGTGAATAAAGACACAATGAAAAGTGCACTGAATTGTGCTGTGTCACCAAGGGAGGGGACCAAATGCAAAGAGGGGTACAGAGGAATGTCTGCGCGTGTGTGTGTGTGTGTGTGTGTGTGTGTGTGTGTGTATATGTGTAGGCAAACAGACACTCCGCAAACATCTCTGAGGAGGTCGAAAGCATTGATCTGGGCACTGAGGGTTTTATTATGAGTTTGTTTGTCGAGAAAGCGCCCAAGAACTCTCCGCTGGGTCATTATCCCAGGGAGGTTTGGCTTGACTTGAATACAAAGAACTATAAATTGCTTTTCACCTCATTCTTGATATGAGTGTCTTTGTGTGTGTGTTTAAGCTCACAATGAATTGTTTTTCATGCATCTCTTAAACCGTTTTGTCTCCACACTCATATGTGTGTATACAGCCAGGTAATCTCTGACTAGCGTGTGGTGGGTAATGATAGAGGGATTGAAAGAGACACGGATGGCATAGAGAGTGGAAATGTCCTCTCAGTTGGAATTAACCTCAGACGGTCTTATTTCATCTATTAAATTGTCTTTTGACACACCCTATATTTCTCTCTTTCTCTCTCTCGCGCTCTCATTTTTTCTCTTCAGTCCACATAGTTTCGATACTGTAATTTATCCTCCTGAGTAATCTGTTTGACTTCTTATCACATTCTGTTCACCTTCTGTCTTCCATGACTGTTTGTCTCCATGCTGTCCCATCTTGATGTTGAGGTAGCTGTAAATCATTTATCCATCCATCCATCTCTTCATCTATCAGTTACACATCTCTGTCTCTATCTTCAGTCTCCTTTGTCAGCTCCTTTAGTGCTGTGGGTGTTTGTGTGTACATACACATTTATTAAGGTCATAGAGGTCAATATATAAATAGCTTTTGTTTAGAAGTTGAATATTATTCAAAAAGGCATCAAATATGCGATTCATACATACATATTCTGGCTTAGATACACCTTCTATGAGGAGCAATTTTTCCCTCAGAATTGCACTTCATTTTGACATTTGTTTTGGTTTGTTGGACCAAGTTAAAAATGTCAGGGTAATACAGCATGCCTGGCATCATAATGAAGAAAAAAACCTCATTAAATGGATGAAATTCTCGAAAAGAAACCCTGAAGTAGTTTACCATGCTTTCCACCCATTTCCTCATTTCTGCCACATAAGAAAAAAACATGATTTGGTAAATCATAATTAGGACAAAAAAAGTCGTAATTGTGACAAAGTTAAAAAAGAGAGAGAGCAATGAAATTATGACACAAAAGTCACAATTATGACAATTTCAACCATGACTTTTTAGCTCATAAAATGTCAAAATTCTCATAATTATGTCATTTTTATGTCACTTTTACTAAAAATAACCCAGGCAACGATTAGTTCTGTGAAACAAAGCAAAACCAATGTTACACCGTGTCTACACCGGACGCGAGTGGCGTGGCGCGACAAAATACTATGCCACTCATTATAATCAGTGATGCTGTCTACTAGGGCTGTCGCAATAACCGCAATATCGCAATACCGCGCTATTGACGAGCAAACCGCAGAGGAATGCAAGAACCGCAGCAACCGCGATTTTTGCGTTTTCTTTTTTCGTAAGGTTATGCCCTTCTCGTCTTAATGCATGTAGACTGAATATTAAACAAGTTAGTAATGATAACATAATGTGTACCATGCTGATTTGTACAGAGGCTCCGTAGATTTGCACTTAACAAGCCTAAACAGACAGTGAATGAGAGAGAGATCGACTGAGCGCGTGCGATTACTTGCGTCTGTCCTCCAGGCCGAGTCATATATATTTGTGAAAATAGGTTGTCATCTCCAAGGAAAGCGAAATCTCTGTCTTAGCATCGACGCATAGCTGGTCAGCTGAGCCTTCTAAAGTGGCGCTCAAAGTTAAAATGATTTCAACAGCATGTTTCATTAGGTCTCTTTGAATGAATGAATCAGTGTTTTTGAACGTGTAGTTGAATGACAGTCACGTTCCACCACCTTGTGACACAACACTGTAACTGCACTGATTGACAGCCCGTCTAGAACGCGCACATGCGGAAATATCATTAGATATTCAAGTCAAGTCTCTTGTCCAGTCAGATTAGAAAATCTGATTACAACTAGGCTAACTGTTATACATATAGGCTAACGATAGCCTAACGATCTTATTGTCAGGTTTATGTTCTGTTATGTGGACCGTTATTTTGTCATTCTCTTCTGTTTACTTCACTTCCTGTTTCAACGCTATTTGGTTTCGGTTTCATTGTTTTCTGAATATGACCTCGTTAGTTATATCGTTACACATACACACACAAATTATATATATATATATGGCGATAATACCGCATACCGCGCTATTGAGCCACTCAAAATTACCGCAAGGGAAATTCCCTCACCGCGACAGCCCTACTGTCTACACCATAGATATATATACATATCCATGGTCTACACTGGATGCGGCACGACAAAACCCCGACAGAAAACTGCTGCTGCATTCTATTTATGACGTATTGACACAAATTTCAAATGATTTTCAACGGTCGCTTTGTCGCGTCCAATGTACTAGACAGACTTTAGCTGGTGCGGCGCAGACACTGTGTTACTTGCATATCGAGAAGAAACAAAGCAACCTCAGCGTCCGATCGCAGTCCTTCCGCTCCTCGAGTTCTCTCCAGTGCTGGAAAGCTGATCCGATATTTACACGGGTCCTACTTCTTGCCTTATTGCCGTAAAGGGTTAGTTCACCCAAAAATGAAAATTAGCTTGTGTTTTATTTACCCTCGAAGTAGGGCTGTGCGATTAATCGAAATCGAATCGAAATCGCGATTTGAGACGTTGCGATTTCCTAATCGCAAAGCCTGCGATATGGAGGCGATATTACTCTGTTCCAGAGCATATGCATGACTGCCAGCCTTGAGTTGCAGTCTTACTAACCAATAGAGTGAGCGCACCTCCATTCTCCCCAATCAGCACTGCTCTAGCCAACTGCGTAAACACCCACCAAAAAAAATTAATAAATAAAAAACCGGTCTTTCTTGCCCTGGGCAAGAGGGAGCGCCCCCCCATTCCCCCCAATCAGCACTGCTCTAGCCAACTGCATAAACACCCACCATTTAAAAAAAAAAAAAACGGAAAGCGGGAGAAAGACAGAGTAGGATTATGGCGTCTACTGGGTCAGATCGATAGTTAGGCAAATTAAAACTAAAGAAAACCGTATGCAACTTAAGCTTCGAAATGACAGACAAC